AGAATGACAAATCGCACTTAGGCAATACATGAACGAGAAAATGATTTATGGATTTTCACGACGGCCTGAGCAAATGAAGGCGACATGAATTATACATCCTAATGTGCAGTATATCATTTTCTAATAACACTGTTTTAGTTCTAATGCTGCACGCTGCTCTCTGCGACAGGCGGTATCGATTAAATAAAGAGTCCGAGGGCTGTCTGTGCTGGACGCGCACCTTCGGCAGGCACCAGCTGAGGTCTGCGCATTTACCTCTCGCTGAAGCAGCGGGCCATTATCGGGCCCCTGACACCGCGGCGTTCAGTTTTTCTATCTGTCATCATTTAATTTGGCAGTTGCTTCGCTGAATGAAGACTAATCTTGTGTGTCGCTGCCTTTCGCTCCGAAATGTAAATAGATGACATCAGGTTTGAAATCCACCGTGCTGACGGGGATAGCACCCGGGTAAGTCAAACCTTTCCTCTCTGCCAAAATCCTCACACGCCTCTCTGGCAACCCGAGTACGGAGGGGCAGTTTCTCAGTAATACTCCTGCTGGGCCAGAACTTCCCTCATGTCTCCATTTACCAAATCTCACGGATTAGCTTAAAGATAAAAAACTTTGGGTTTAACTCACACAGGCTGGGAGAGCACATCAACAGGAAAAACTGAGTGCATGTGCACAGGGAGGGGGGAAGAGCTGCAGGAGAAGGAGGGGGCTTAGCCCCAGATTCAGCCTGCATTAGTGCCCCCAGGCCAGGGCTTCCCCTCTCCTGCAGCCGAGTTCTTTTTGCCCTTCATCACAGATCAGCGATGAATTCATAGCAACATAAACTGTGAACATTCCCAATTATTTCAGTGGTTCCTAGGCTAAAATATCACTCCACATTAAGAAGGACAAGCAAGTCCCGGCCTTTCATGGAACAATATGAATCAGAGATGGTGAAGATGGAGGTAAAGGATTAATGTATTCATTTGGAGGGGTTAAATCAGTGATTATTGGGGAAGAGGTGAGGAAACGCTTCATTTCTCACTACCTGAGTGAAGTATTTCCATTGTTCAGACACAGAAGGAGTCACAGAAGTAAGGAAATGCCCAAATGCTGTGTTTTGGATTAATCACTTTCCTAACCCAGGCAGTCATAGCTTTGGGCATAGAAAGCTAATCCCCATTGTTTAGTTGAGTCACCAAAACGATCTGTTGGTTCCATTTTAGGTATCAGTCTTGGTTTTAGGCTGAGGAACTTTGTAGCCTCTTTACCGTCTGGATGTTAAAAACACACTGAGAACTGGACTGACTCATCCCCC